CAGATGGACATAACTCATATCACTGCCTTTGAAAAACTTCAATATGTGCATGTGTCGATTGACACATGCTCTGGCATTATTCATGCCACACCACTTACAGGAGAAAAAAACCTCTTATGTCATTCAACATTGCCTTGAGGCATGGAATGCTTGGGGCAAGCCCACATCTTTAAAAACGGATAATGGGCCTGCCTATACTTCTCAAAAGTTTAAACAATTCTGTACACAGATGCAGGTCACCCACATTACAGGCCTGCCTTATAACCCCCAGGGACAAGGTATCATAGAGTGGGCACATCACACACTCAAATCTTATCTACTTAAACAGAAAGGGGGAATATTGACAGAGCTGCCCACGACGCCAAGGGTGGCCATCACTATGGCTCTGTTCACCATAAATTTTTTAAATTTAAATGATAATGGCCAAAATGCTACAACACGACATTATTCGGATCCGCAGCGGCCCAAAGATTTGGTTAAGTAAAAAGATATGCTTTCTAATAAATGAAAAGGCCCGGATCCCATTTTATTGAGATCCAGGGGAGCTGTTTGTGTCTTCCCACAGGATCAAGAAAGCCCATTCTGGCTGCCAGAGCAATTGACCCGAACAGTAAAGAATGATCCACAACACACGGATTCGCCTGAGGACCTGGCTGCTGTTCCTCCTGCCATTTTATGGATGGATGACAGAGTACCGATGGAGGACACTCTCAGATTTCCCAAAGCTGTTACCAGTCAGCCATAGGATGGCGATGTTTCCTCGATTTTTTACAACCAATAAGACTCTGGGGCCCCTCATACCGTCCTAGAGATGATTTATAAGCTTGGCCGTAGGATTCCAGTCCTGGGCCATGTCTTTCATTCCCCTACCTCAAAGAATGGGTGGGGGTGAAAATGTTTTGGAACAGTCCTATGCTATGGATTAATGTTTCTCCTCTGGATGGTCTGCTGACTCAAATCCCAAAATCGTAGGGACAAAATGGTTATTGCACAAGCATTGGCAGCCCTGAAACAGGGGCCTCTACCGATATGTGGTTATTTATGCTAAAGCAATAAGGTTTATGCCAACCAGCTCCTGTACCCCTAGGACAATGGTCCATTGCACAGGATGGAATGCTTGGCTTAGCTAGCCCTAAAGGTTGTCGAGCTAAAGAGCATCACACAGAGAATGGCCCTCTCTGAGAGATATGTCGTCCTGCATAAGGGTTTCCTATCGTATATTCCCTTTCCCAGAAAAATGGCAGAGGGCAGGCCGGATAGGTTCCAGATGTCATGAACCTAGGGGCAGATTCCGTACAAGCCCATCGTAATGTTTTTGCTCTGGAAAGTGCGACCTCTATCTTTGCCTTCTGAGGGAATTGCCTTTCTGCAAAGAAGTAAAAAAAGGGGGATATGTGGAGGGCCGGACCACATTCTCCATTGCTTCTAGGAACAAAGGTAGAGATTGATCTCTGTGACCTCAAGGTGTGGCGGTACACGCCTTTAGTCCTGATGCCTGGGCGGCAGAGGCAGATTGACCTCTGCAACCTCAAGGCGTGGTAGTACACGCCTTTGGTCCCGATGCCTGGGAGACAGAGACAGGCAGACCTCTGTGAGTTCAAGGTGATGTAGCACACGCCTTTAATCCCAGCGCATGTGCTTGTTAACTCTCTACCACTGCGTCCCTGCCTACTCCCGAGGCATCATCTGGGATAATGGGCAGCGGACCAATCCAAGAGTAACACGTCAGAAGCGAGGACTGTTTCCTTTATAAGGGCTGGGTTCCCCTCATTCTGGGTCTCCGCCATGTTGGCTGATGCTCGCTCTCCCAAGGGACATTAAAGCTTTACTACAAAAGTATCCTAAGTGCCCCGCGTCGTTCTTGCTGGCAAGAAGATAGCGCGGGACATTTCTGACCCCTCTAAATTTGCATTTGGCCAGGAGGAGGGTGGAGGTCACTATAAGCTGGACTCTCTTGGTTTTCCTACCAGTTAGACTTTGTTGTTCAGACAGCTAAGTGTGACATGTCTACCAGTGCTTTTCTACTTCTTTTCTTTGTGGACCAGGAGCAGTCTCTCTTGGCTACCTTTCACATTGCAACATAGGGCTTAGCAGATTCTCTCTCATTCTCAGGACTCTGGAGCTAGCTTGTACATTTCAGGAATGACTAATATTCTCATAAGGAGTTTCTCCCATTTGCAATGGGGGTGAAATAAGGGAATGCAACACTGACATCTGTATATAGAAATTACTATACACTTTAAAAGCACACTCAGCCATTGACATGCTTCAGGAGGGATGAGGTGAAGAAGTCAAATGCTTTGCTGGTGTTTCATAGTTCTCAGTCCCATTGATAGCGCACCTCAACTGACATAGGTGGCTGCAGAGGCTGGCCACCTGGTGATGTAAGACTTGGGCCTATAACATGCTTAGATAAGGGGTTGGAATCGGCATCTAGCTACTGAGGATGATGGTGATTTCTCACCATTGGTCTGGGCCAAACCTTCCACTTGAATTTCTCAGTTAATAACACCAGGACTGCCTCCGCTTTGTGACTAACTCCTTTCCCCATCTCACCAAGGCTCCAGGATATTGAGAAAAGATTGTTCACTGTGATTAGGTCACTGGCATGGCTCAATATTAAGCAGAGATTCACTGTCATGATGGTTGCTGACCAAAATCATCACGTCATAGAAGTTACATCTTACCAGAATGTACGACTGGATTCATGTCATTCAGGAGCTGTGAGCTTACCCGTCAGCAAGATTGTCAGTCTCTTTTCTCTAACAAGAAAGCTTAGCTAAGTCTTATGCATCCTCTGTCTCACTATGAATTTGCTACAGCAAATGAGTATCTACAGCAGTGAGTATCTTAACTTCTGACTTCCTGTGGGTCCCATATTTCAGTCTGTCTGTGTTTCTGTCTCTCCTGCTACCCTATCACTTGCTATGTGACTGTCAATGTCTTTCCAATCTTTCTGTCTTGGGAAGAGAGTATACACTTCAGTGACACACTCTCCTTGTTCCCTTGTATATGTAGTGACTTCTGAGTTACTGTTTTAGACAGGGAATTTCAGACTGAGACTTTCATATCTCAGATATGCCATTCTTTTATAAGGAATGGATGAAACTGACATCTACTCATTGGCATCTGTAATTAGTCTGGCAAATAAATATGAGTTTATATAAATGTAAGTATCTAGCAAACTACTAAGAAGTCAAAATTTCAACTGCAGACACAGTTGGAATCCCAAAGATTTTCATGTATTATTTGCAGAATAATATCAGAATATTTTGACTTAAAACATCAAGTTTTATTTAATATTCACTTATTTATCAGAATAGCAAAATCTAAAGAAGATAAATTATGGTTTGAAGAGGAAATAGCAAAAATATGTATATATAAAATATTTTAATATATTATATTTGGCATTTTAAATTCATGTTATATTTAATATCTCATACTAATTATATTTAATTTGTCATATTAATAAAACATATAATTAACATATACATGATTTTATATAATATGTATTATATATATCAAATGATAAAAGCTTTAATAACACAGAAGTTTAATGCAGTTGAGCTCTGGGTGACTTATAAAGAATAAAACACATTGGAGTACAATTGTATGTGTTAGGTTGTTTATAATCAAAGGTTATTCATATATTTTTCCTATTCTTTATATTCAAAGCAAATTGACATTCTTAGAAATTTATCTATTTATATCAAAGTTGTTAAAACAAAACCCCAAGTTTAAAATATTTTTGTTCTATTATAATAGATGCTTAACACTTTTTTTTTTGTTAAAATTTTCCCATGTTTAAAATGGCTAAGGGCATTTAAATTTCTGTTTGGGTCAAAAACTTTTTAAAGCTCATTTTTGTAGCACTGTTTAAATGGAGCTATTATACAAGTGGGTTGCAATTGTGTATGAGGCAAAATAAACTTATCGATTTGTCATTGATGCTGTTTTAAAGAGAAACTTGTAAGAAATGTAAATTTTCAAAGATTTTAAATTTAGCTCCAAATAATGAATATATAACTGGATGAAAAAATAAACACCATTGCATAGTTATACTGTACACTTTTACTTAATTCTATGTATATTTATTGTAGTCTATGATTTAAGAATGCAAAACTTGAAAGGTTCTGTGAGTGGTGTCCTCCACATAAAATTGGTAAGAATCACTTTTCAAGAGGCACATGTCTGTTTTATCCAGCACCACTATCTGTGTATACCAATAGGGTTCTGAGTAGTCCCAGCTGAAATGACCACTCCCATGGTGTGCAGTATGTACAACTATGTACTGTCGTCAAGATGTGGTGTCTTGTGGGTCTAATTTCTCCTGAAAGATGTTCTATTGCATGATAAATCTTTCTCCTGGGGACCATTTTCTCTTTTGGCTGTCCTGTAACCACAGCCTACAAGTGGTTCTCTACAAGTACAACATTTCTAAGGGCAATCTAATTTCTTGAGGTCTGCTGTTTCAATAGTCTGACAACCCAGGAAGGACAAAAGCATCTTTGTAGAATATCCTAGTTTCTTCAAGGCCTGTTATAATAGCTCATTGTTTCTTGTGTTGTGTGATCAAGCATATGCTTCATCATAACATAAAGCTTTGAAAATTAAACACACAAAAGCTCAGGCAGGAGGTTAGCTCTGCAAAGGACTGGCCCCTGCTTGCCCCCACAAACAGAACATAAATTATAATAGGTATTGGAAGTTGAGTCATCTTAAGTTGACATTTTCAGGGGAGCATACACAGTGAACTTTTCTATTTTATGGGTAATTAAAATCCTATACATATTTTTGAACCTTCTATATCTTAGGTGGAAAGCCAGGAAAATAGGGTCTTGAGAAAAACAAGCCTCTTTCCCAGAAGGGCCCTTCCTGGAGGAGGGAGGGCAAGTGTTACAAGGAGAGGACAAATAAAAGTCCCTGCCTGCCCGTTGCCACGCTCTGCTGCTGGGCTCAGCCAGCTCTTATTCTGAAGAGAGTTCTTACTTCCTTGTCCTCTAAACTGAAACTTGACTGCTCTCTCTGTTGTGTGTTCTTCACTTTGGAATGCAGAATAAACAAGACTAAAGCTAGAGTTGAGACCAGGGGGATCTGGAGACCTGCTGCAGGACATCTGGTGCTCAATACAGGTTCACTTTCTTTAGTTAAAGGGTGCAGAGATGCATTCTCCTCCTGCCAACACCTTTAGCAAGGATTCTGCTTCTGCTTGGCAAGTGTATTGTCTCACTTCCTTCCTATCTCATAAGGGTACTGAAATATTTTTTCTCTTGTTGCTTTTTCTGCTCTAAAAATCATTTAGCTTAAATGACTCTTCTCTCTCCTCCCCCTCTCTCTGTTACTGCTTGTATCCCTAGTTTAATTTGCACTACCATCCAGCCTGTTGGTTTCATTCTTTTCTTTGACCCAAAAGAGCTGAAAGGGCAACTGTGTCTGGTTTGTTGCTTCTGTGACCATTATTTAAAACTTGGAATGGTCAGATTCCTTGTCTTCAGCAAGCTCAAACACCAGGCTTAATTGAAAAGGGGCCACAAATATCTAGGAGAATTTCTTGAATATAGATAGAGCTTTGGATCAAACTGAGCTGATTTATGTGTAGGGGATAGTCCAGTCATAAAGGGGGACATTTGAGAATGGTTGGCATCTGGAAAGAATGACCCAGAGATTGGTCACTGTTTAATCACTCCATGAAATTTCCCTGGTGATATCTAAAGAAACGCATGATGCCACCTGGAGACTAGAGGATGCTTAGGTAAAATGAGAGATGCCTCATCTGAAATGCTGCTTACCTTTCTGATTCATGTTCCCTTTGTTGGGGAATCAGATTCACCTCCATCTCATCAAATGCCCCGCTGGACTGCATCCTAAAGAAGTGGGACAAATTTAACCAAAACTTTACAAAAGGAGGCAACTTATTTTCTTTTGCATTACTACCTGGTACTCCTAAGAACTGGGGATGGAAAGACTTGATATCTGAATGGGAGCCTAAATCCTGAATCTTTGCTACAGTTATTGGCATGCTCTTCAGCGATAACAAATGCAATGAGATCCCTTATGTTTAAGCCTTTTATGTTAATTGCATCATTGTCCTGCTTTATCTACTTTGCATATGAAATAAAAAAGGGGGAAGTCTCCTTTGTCCACATGTGTGCAGTTAAAGGATAATCTACGAATTATGAAACAAGTTTACACACGTGATGTTCAAATTATATTCTTTATTCTCCTTTCTTTTGCTGCAAGGTTTCCAGTTTATATATACGTACAAGCAAAGGTAATTCTCTGGAAATCACAAGTAGCAGAGCTTGAGTTTCTCAGGGTCCAAAAACAGATAAAGCTTGTCCTGAGTGACACTGTCAGTTTCTTTCTGAATCTGGAGAGGCATGGCTAGATGGAAATCTAGGCAACACCTAGGAGACTGAAAGGCTGGTGTAGGAGCTTTAAATTTTAAGAGGGGAGTAGGGGAGTTGGGTGCATGAACTACATTTCTAAGTGTGCTTTCATTAAACTAGGAATAAGTGTAGAGTATTGATAGCTACTTTTAGGATAGAGTTGTAGGTCAACTAGGTTAGCACTTTACCAAGTTGACTGTGGGAGAATTTAGGGCACTCAATCTCAAATGAGCTTGGACATCCCTTTATCTTTGAAGTTCCAAAATGTGATCTATTTGAAAAACTCCTTTCCTGACTAAGTATTTTGCCAAATAAAAATATTTGTAAGGCATTGACCTCTAAGTTTTATCTCAGGGAATGGAGCAGAGATTTGACTATGGGAATCAAGGTTTTTGATTGTGTGACTAAATTTTCTCATGGGGGGTTCCACAGATTGTGGGAAAGTCACCCAATAAGCGAAAGAACAAGGCATGTTTTTCAGTGTCCACAGTCCTTGTGGGACAAGTAGGTCCAGTTATGAAGCATGTTCTAGTATGTATTATGCATATCAAAACTCCATAGATAAATAAAAAGTAATCTCCCTGACCACTCATAGATATATGTGCCCATTAGACCAAGATGCACCCATGAGATTGCATATACACATTACATGAGAGTACACACTACAATGCAGATATTGTGGAGACACCAAGCTGCTTTAGCCAAAGTAAGCAACAACTTTCAGAGTCAATGTTCTTGCAGACCTTTTCTGGACAGGATTAACCTCCATCAGATAGTCATTCCTCGGATGGGTTTACATCTGAATACTAGTTGTCACCTACTATAACTCCCATGCCCCTGACACTTTTCCTACCAGTTAGACTTTGTTGTTCAGCCAGCTAAGAGCAACATGCCCACAGGTGCTTGTCCACTTCTTTTCTTTGTGGGTCACGAGTGGCCTCTACTGGCTACACCTAATATTGCAACAAAGGGGCCTGGCAGCTTCTTTCCCATTCTCAGGACTCCTTAGCTTGTACACTTCAGGAATGACTAATATTCTAGGTAGGAGTTTCTCCCATTTGCAGTGGGGGTGAGGGAAGTCAACACTGCACCGACATCTGTATTTAGAGATTACTATCAAATTTCAAAACACGCTCAGTCGTAGACACGCTGCAGGAGGGATGAGGAGAAGAAGTCAAATACTTTGATGGTGCTTCATAGTTCTCAGTCCCATTAATAGTGCACCTCAGCTGACATAGGTGGCTGCCGAGGCTGGCCACCTGGTGATGTAAGGTTGGGTTTATAACACACATAGATAAGGTGATGTGGTTAGCTCCTAGCTACTGAGAATGAGGTTTATTTCTGTGGCCTTCAGGTTCTGAGCCAAATCTTCCACTTGAATTTTCAGTCGCTGACACCTTTTGTCTTCTCTTTGTGATTAACTCCTTTGCCCATCTCCCAGGATCCAGGTTCTCCGAATTGAGATTGTTTACTGCTATTAGGCACCCAAGGATGGCTCAATATTAAATAACAGATTAACTATTATGATGGTTGCTGACCAAAATCATCACATCAGAGAAGTCATGGTCTATCCAGAATTCACAACTGGATTCAAGGCTCTCAGGAGCTGTGGGCTTACCCCTTAGTAAGACTGTCAGTCTCTTTTATCTGACAGTGAGCCTAAGTTATGGCTTCTGTGTCTTTTCTCTCACGAGGAATTTGCCTGGTGGTTACAGCAGTGAATACTGTAACCTCAGACTTCCTGTGGGTACCATACTTCAGTCTGCCCATGGTTCTTAGGTGTCCTGTCACCCTATCACTTGCTGTGTGACTGTGAATGTCCTTCCAATTTTTCTCTCTTGGAAAGAAAGTATGTTCTTCATTGTCATACTCTTCCTATTCTCATGTCACATGTAGGTGCCTTCTGAGTTTTTGCTTTAGACAAGAAGTCTTAGACTTAGACTTTCATATTCTAGATAGGCTATCATTTTTAAGGAATGAATGAAACTGATGTCTATACATGGCATCTGTAATTAGCATGACAATTAAATATGAGTTTATATAAATATGAGTATCTAGGAAACTACCTAGGGGGCTTCATTTCAATTGTAAACACAAATGGAAATCTGAAGAGATTTATATGTTATTTGTAGAATTATATCAGAATATTTTGACTTAAAACACCAAATTTTATTTGGTTTTCACTTGTTTATCTCAAGATAAAAATCTAAAGAAGACAAATTTAATGTTTGAACAGAAATAATAAGATAAATATGTGTATGTTGTTATATAAATATCGCTAACATAAATGTTTAACCCAGTTGTGCTACAGGAGGCTTATAAAGAAGAAAGTCCATAAGAGTAAGTTTATATGTGTAAAGTTATTTATCATCAAAGGCTATTTATATTTTTTCCTATTCTTTACCTTTAAAGCAAGTTGACATTCTTCGTATGATCTATTTATACCAAAATTTTAAAGCAAAATCCCTAGCTTAAAATATTTATGTTCTTTTATAATAGATGTTTAACAATTTATCTTAAAATATCATAACTTAATAGTGTAAATGTTTATCTAAATTTCTATTTGAGTTGAAATATTTTAATGCTCATTTTTATTACACTTATTTAATGTAGCTATTATATAAGTGTGTACCAGGCAAAGTGAAAACTTATTAGTGGTCATTGACACTCTTTAATTAAACTTGTAAATTTTTAAATTTCAAACATTTTAAATTTCTAAATTTCAAATGTTTTAAATTTAGCTCCAAGTGTATAAATAAATAAAAAATTTCATAATTGTGATGCTAACTTTTACAAACTCTTTGTATTTTTATTGTAGTCTATAATTCAAAGAATGCAAAACTTAAAATGTTCTGTTGGCTGGTGTCATCCACTTAAAATCTTCAAAAATCACTTTTCACGGGACACATGTCTCTTTTACCCAGCACCACTATCTGTGTATCTTCATGTGGTCCTGAGTTGCTCCAGCTGAAATGATTCCTGTTCCTGATTATTTTTGTAACTGAATAAATGATAAAGTCAATTCTGTATCATATAGTATACATTCAGTTATTTCAATATGCAACAAAACTCTTTCTGCATATTGAGATTCAGTAACTTTTGAAAGAGGTTCTGGAAAATCCAATAATACCATAAGAATAGCAAATAATTTTGACCTTTGGAAAGAACCATAAGGACTTTGATCCAATTTACTTTAATTTCTTTTCTTGTAACCTGCCTTTCCTGACTTACTTGGATCAGGATAGCATGTAGGGGTTACAGATATTAGTTTTCTGCATACACTGTGAAGAAGAATTTAATTATTTTTTCTTAAATTGAATTCTCTTGCATTTGGGATATTTAATGTTAATCTTTCCCTAAAAATTCTGTAAGCTCTTTGCCAATGTTCATTTTCTGCCCACAATCAGTCAATTACATCATAAAGAAAAAGTACTACAATTTCTGATGTGTCTGTTCCCTCAATTCAGAATATTTCCAAGTAAATTTATAAATTTTTACTCTGCTTACATGGTACAAATATCCATTCTAAGATGTTATCTTCCTTCTGCTAAAATCCATGTTGAAGAAATCACAGAGGGTCAAATAACCAGAATGCAATCAAACTCTGTATCCGAATGATTCACATGTATATCCTGTAATTTCTTTTCCAACAAAGCCAATTCTCTCTCATCTTCAGCTGATAATTCTCTGAGACTATTTAAGTCCTTGTCACCTTTCAAAGTTTGGAAAAAATTACTTATTTCTGGATTTGTTACTCCAATAGTGGGTTGTAAACAGGCAATGTCCCAGTGGTCTGTGAAAGTCATGAAGAATCTGCAGTTGATCTTTCCTAATTTGTACTTATTTGGATCGATTCTTTTGTAGACCTATTTTATATCCTTAGTAATTAATAGAATCTCCTTCTTGTAATTTTTCATGAATAATTTGCAATCCCCAATAATGCATAATTTTCTTTAATTCTTCAAACACTTTCTCTAGCGTATCTATTTTAATCTGTCAGGAAAATATCATCCATATAATGGTAAACTATAGAGTGAGGAAACTGCTTGCATATCATTTCCAATGACTGATATACAATACAGGGTGGGATATTTAACATTCCCTGTAAGAGAGACAGCCGGTAGGGGCAAATACATTTATTCCAGCACTTGGGAGGCAGCGACAGATGAACCTCTGTGAGTTCAAGCCTAACCTGGGCTACATAAGATTGATCCAGTCTAAAAAAGAAAAGAGGCAAATGGTGGTGACTCACACTTTAATCACAGCACTGGAAGTGATATGGTTGGGTGGAAAGAAGAATACAAGGCAGGATGAAACAGGAGCTGAGGTTTCAGCTGAAGTTTCATAGAATCAATATTCAGTCTTAGGACTTGTGGAGATAGGGTACCCCATTTGGTCTCAGGATTTCATGGAGGTAGGAACTAGTGGCTGGGTGCTTACTTTTCTGATAATTCAGCTTTCATCCCTTAAATTCTGACTCCAGGTTTAATATTAAGATCAATTAGAAATCATGCTACTACTGCCTCCTCCTTTCTGCTCCATGACCATTAGGCAGTAAACAGTAGGACTTAAACAGTAGGCATACAGCAGTATTGGTTAACCATTACTCAGACAATAGCACTAGTTAATCATTTGCTAAGGAGTAGAAATGGTTAAACAGTAGCCAGGATGTAGGAATGACTAACCACCAGAATGGGAGTGCCACTTGCTAGTCATGAGACAGGAAGGTATATATGATGCTTCCCATCTTCCACTTTAGGGCAGCGACACCAGAACATCCAGGACGTGCTTAGGCCATGAGTTCCAAACAGCAGTCTGTCAAACTAAACGATGGCCACTTCATTCCTGCCCTGGGTTTTGGCACCTATAAACCCCAAGAGGTAAGAATGCATGGTTCTCAGTATTTCCAGGCTAGCTATTCCATGTACAAGAAGTCAGATATTTAGTCTTGGCCTACATCAGGGCTTGACTGAGTCCCAACCTGGTTATTTTTCCTGTTAAATGGATGTTGGAGCAGTGGCTGCAATTGGTGGCTGTGGGTAGGAGACTAATCTGTTTTCCTGATAGGTTGAGTCAGGATTCTGTCAGAATTCAGTTTTATTCATGCTTGCACTTGTTTTTTTGTGAGCCACCTGGAAGGAAGGCCTAATGGAGAACAAAGGGAAAGCCTAAGGTGTTAGTGTTGTCTATGATGGAGCTACAAGGCACATGCCTCAGAGGCATTGGGACATTTACTATAATTTAGTCAGGGAATTCAGAAATAGGGAGGGAAGATTGTTTATGTTCGCTGGTTTTTCTTGTTTGAGTTTTTCTTGCTTGAGGCAAGGCTCTCTGGTCTTAGCTGAATGTGGCTGTTTTTTTTTTTTTTTTTTTTTTTTCCTTTTCTTAGATTTGCTCTTCTGGTCCAGACCTGCCTGTGAATTTAATGTTCTTACTTGGGACCCTTCAGCTCTAAGAGTGAACTTGAAATAAATCTTCTGCCTGTAGGCTCCAGGCTTAAAGGGACATATCCATGACCTAACAATTCTGGGCCCTATGCTTTTCATATGTCTGTGTTTCTCAGCTGGGTAGAAGAGAAGAAAGTCACCAGATAGCATATCAGTGTTCTTGGTAGCACTGACAGGAACTTCTCTGTTTATGTCTACAATCCACAGCACGATATTTCTTTTCAAGAAGGCAAGATCCATGGAAATCCGTGTGATAACTCGGGGTGTCTCCCTGTAGTAATGCAAGAAACAAGTATTTGAGCACTGCCTCACTTTTGTTTTACTGTAGCCTTCTGCTCCACACAGGGAATGAGGCACTTGAGCTAAGTAAGGTCCCCCATATACAAATTCTGAACTGTAGGAGACTTACTGGAATTTATAATATAGCCTTACGATTGGGGAAAGGTGAGCATAGTAAAGATAAATGTAAATTATTGGTCTTCATTAATGCATATTGGGTTTACAGCATGGTGTTCTCCAGAACTGAAACTATCAAGGTATATACTGTTTCTTAACCTAAAGGGAATTTCTTATTTCTAAAGTTCCTGAAACTGGGACAAAGGTTCACTTCCCTTAACTTCAAATTCATCCATTTCTTTCCTATTACATTTATGAATATTTACAAAGATAAAGCTGGAGATACATACAAGATTATTTACTTTTGCAAAGTGACAGAAAGAAAAACAGCAACAGTGTTGGTAACTCACAGAGTGATTTTTATTCTTAGCTAAGTCAGAGGTGGGATTCAGAGAAGGTGGTACAATTCAGAATTTCACTCTCTGTGTTTTATTATGGAAAGAAAACTGTAGAAATTACTAAAATAATCAAAAAAGGCAGTCTGATTTCTTTTTATATATGTTGTATGACTATATGTGTTTGTGTATTTGTGTATGCCAGAGGTTAAAGTCTTCCTCCACTGCTCTTACTTTATTTTTGTGAGATAGGGTGTCCCACTGAGTCGAGAACTCAGTTATTCTGCTAGAAGGCAACCCAGTGATATCCTGGGATCACCCTGAATTTGCTTCCCCAGGCACTGGGATTGCACATGTAAGCCACCATGCCTTACTCTGCTTTTTCATGAGGGCTGAGGTCTAATCTAAGATTCTGAGAGTTGTTAATAAACACTTTATTGATTGAGACATCTTCTCAGTCCACACCTTAAATTCTGTAATAAAGGAATTGTCATATCTTTATCTGAATCTCACAGTCGAGGCAGTGATTTTAGATTTAATTCCAGTCATATCTTTCTAAAGCAAATATCTTTGGATGAAGGGCTGATACGCTAAATGAATAATATCCAACATGATGTTGTCAATTTATTTTTAATGAGAACATATTCCTAGGGTAGATTTTCGTTTCCTGATAGGATTTATGTATGTCAGATAAAGAGAATGGATATGCTGAAAGACAAATATAGGATACTATTGTCTGTTCAAGTTCCTATTATTAACTTAGCTCTGCTTGTTATCTGATATTTTTGCTTTCTCATCCTTTTGGACATTGCTTAGTTTGGGGTCAAAGACAAGTGTCTATGTTATTGTGCTTTGTCCCAAGTAGACTTGTGGTCATTTTGCTTAGTATCACCATACAATAATTGTGTTGACTTTCAAGCAAACATTTGAACCTTTTGTGAGATTGATATTCATAAGTGCCAGTAAGTAACCAGGACTGTGTGGGTATAAAGAGATTCTTGGGTATGAAATTCTTGTTCTTATTTAGAAAAGAGACTCCAAGAAAATGGATTTTGGCCTATTGCCTCAAATGTGGGACAAAAAAATAGGCAAACATGGAACCTGTGGAGATGTTTAGTTTTCTGTGTTATTTATAATATTTCTTAGATATTCATTAATTTTATAGACTAATAGATAGGATTTCAAGTTCTGAGGACTAGGCTCTTGCCTTGTAGTCTGAGGATGACCTTGAAAAAAACAAATTCTTTCTTGCCTAGCAAAGTCCCACCTAAGCTCACTCAGAACATGCATCTTTAAATACCTCTTTTGTTTGTTCCTCTAGGTTCACAAGAGCAAGTCACTGGAGGCTGCCAACCTAGCTATAGGTATTGGGTTCCGCCACATAGATACTGCTTATGCATATCAAGTAGAAGAGGAGATAGGACAGGCCATTCAGAGCAATATCAAAGCTGGCGTTGTAAAGAGAGAAGACATGTTCATCACTACAAAGGTAGCGTGTTTATTTCATGCAAGAGGGTTAATTATTAAAAGATATATAAAGCAGTTAAAATTATATTACTTGATCATAAGTTGGTTAAAGATGTCAGTTGTATAAATGGGTGAAAGAAAGTAACAGTAGATTAAAATCCTTATGAAATTAATTTAGTTATTGACATTATTAGTAGTATGTGTTTTATTTCTTGAGTTACTTCTTTTCGTTGTTCAATAAATGAGCTAACAATAACAAAAATATGTAACTGATTCACATTGTTAAGTCTGAGTACATAAATACTGTGTTAAAGTGAATTATTACTGTTGATTTAGTTTTCTGTCCTGTCTGGTTCCCACAGTCATTAAGTCCCAAGGCAATCACAAAGAGGTTTATGTTAACTATAAATGATTGGCCCATTAGCTCAGGCTTTGTATTAGCTCTTATAATGTATATTATCCCATTATTCTTGTCTATGTTAGCCACATGACTCAGTACCTTTTTCAGCAAGGCAGTCACATATTGCTTCTTCTGTGGCTGCTCAGGACTGCCGAGGAATGGGCTTCCTTCCTTCTTCCCAGAATTATTCTGTTCTCTTTGACCTGCCTCTACATCCTGTCTGGTTGTCCTACCTATCCTTCCTGCCTGGCTACTGGCCAATTAGTGTTTATTTAAAATATAATTGACAGAATATGGACCATTCTCCCACACCACTTCTCCCTCTTTTTTTTTTCTTTTCCTTTTTCTTTATTTTTTTTTTTTAACCAAGGAAAATATCCATAGTCCATTTTTTGGGGGATGTGACATAGTTTTCCAGGATACTTTTTGCTGCTTGGGGGCACTGATAATCTTATGGGGACCTAAAGAAAATTTGTAATTATCATTAAGTCCTGACTGGAGTATCATGTGAGGCTTGATCATCTCAGGCAGCAGTCTTGAATTTGTTCTGGATGCAGAATTCAGACATCCATGCCATCTGCTCCTACCGGAGATTTCTTAGGGGGTCCTCCTTGATCAAACCTGATTTTTCTTAACTTAGAATAAATCCATAGCCTCTCATTTCCTGTGGAAATAAAAGCAAATCCTCTTATCCAAAATAACATATCTTTTGACTTCAATTTTGAAGTCAAGGTATTTTCAAAATATCTATCTTGGATTAATTCAGCAGCATTTATCAATCAATATCTGTTAGCAGCTGTTGCTCTTTTCTCAGCATTCAAAAAATTCAAAGAGAACATAATAGCATACAGTATCCGGGCTCTTGGTGTATTTTTCATCTTTACGTGGCTTTATTTTAACCTCTATTTTTTAATTTTTACTCTTAGTTTTTGGCTTTCTGAGACAGGTTCTCTGTACATCTTTGGCTGTCCTGGAACTCCCTCTGTAGACTAGGCTGTCCTTGAACTCACAGAGATCTGCTTGCCTCTGCCTCCCAAGTGCTGGGATTAAAGGCATGTGCCACCACACCTTGAACTTGCAGAGGTCCTTCTACCTCTGCCTCCCAAGTGTTGGGATGAAAAGTGTATGCTACCACACCTTGAACTCACAAAGATCTGTCTGCCACACCAGATTACAATTTTTCTTCAAGTACAAAAGTAATTCAGTATTAGGATAAATAAGTATCCATGTTTGGGCAATCTATTAACTGATCACAACTTCCTTTCTTCAATTTCTGTAGCTCTGGTGTACTTTCTTTCGACCAGAGCTGGTCCAGCCAAGTTTGGAAAAATCACTGAAGAAACTTCAACTGGACTATGTTGACCTTTACATTATGCATTACCCAGTGCCAATGAAGGTAGGTTATTTTTTCAAATGTACATATTTTTTCATGTGGGCATGGATATCATTTTTATGGATTGCTGAGCAAATTTCTATTATGATTTCATGTAAATTTGTGTTACTAAACTTTTGAGTAGATTCCACAAAGGGCTTACTAGATTATGAAATGAAGTAACCAAGTAATGGTCAGAATTACAGATTAGAAATAACTTCCAGAATTGTATTTACACATCTTTTGAATTTATTTGTGCTACTAGATATTTTCTTGGGTCTTGTGGCAAAAGTGGCCCAAGAGCAACCTCAAGGTCTTGGAACATTGTGGCCATCATTGGCTCATATGCCTGCCCTTGGGCCCACAGGCATTCATACTTATCATTTATCTTGGGAAGGATTGATATAAATTCTTGCTGGTGGTCAAGGCCATGCAATGACTGTGCTTCCCAATGAATATGAAACATTTTTGTTTTTTTTTCTAAAAAATGAGTAGACAAAAGAATACAAGTCAACTAGGAGAGCTCAGTTTGTTGTTTGAAAATATTATCTAGGTGCAGGAATTGTGTGTGTGTGTGTGTGTGTGTGTGTGTGTGTGTGTGTCTGTATATAACAACAATTAAAGAGAGGCCATGAATTTGAGAGACAGCAGGGGCATACATAGTAGCTGTTATACTGAGAAAAGGGAAGAAAGGAAATAACGTAATTTAGTATAATTTCAAAAATAAGAAGAAAAATACAAGAAAGAAAAATTTTAATGATTCCTATAGGTAAAATAAGAGAGTATAGCAAAACAGGGCTCCTAAAGATAAGTTTTTCAACTCCTCATACCTTTCACTTATAAGCTCAGTGTGTAAGATGGTGATTCTCTTCCTCTATGTTTGCTTACTGTCTTATTTCAAAGATAGTCCTTATCTTTTAAAGAAATTATTTGTTTGATATTTTTGGGTGTATTATTTGTATGTCTGTGCAGTAGTGTCTTTGGAGATCAGAAGATGGCACTAGGCCACATGGGTTGGCTGACAAATTGTTCTCACCAAACATTTAGGTGTTGACAATTGAACCCAGGTTTCTCTGAAAGAGAAACCAGTGCTTAATCAGTAAGTTATCTGTCAGGGTCCTCCAGGATATTCTTAAAAACATTACTAGAGGTGAGACACGTGTCTATGTGAGATTTCTTCAAAAAAAAAAAAACCACTTCTCTTCCAGCCAGGGGATAATGATTTTCCAGTAGATGAACACGGAAAATCGCTATTGGACACAGTGGATTTTTGTGCCACGTGGGAGGTGAGTACTTTTCAAAGAGACGGTAAATCAAGATGAGGGAGGGAGAATCAGATCATTTTCTCATGGGTATAGAAATTCATTTATATGCATACATATTTGCTGGAGTGAAAGGAGAGGAATGCATTATTAAAATATACGGGAGGGAAAATGAAAAAGTATTCAGGATAATATGAAAATGTGTTATTTTGCCACCTTATGTAGTAGCATCATCAATTTACTAATGATGTCATAGAAACTCCTCCTTGACGGACACCATATTCACCATTATGACCATTATCTCGATTCTTCATATTTAAGTTCTATGATCACTTGGGTGATACATTCCTCCCATATTTTTAGTGTTTAGGATCAAACTTAGGGTCTTTTACTCAAGGTAAGTATTCTAATTCGGAACTACATGTCTAGCTCTTGACAGTTTTCTTGTAAATGCTCCAACTTCTCTTTATACTGATGTAATGAATTGAAAGTATGACACTTTATAACCTTTTTTTCATCACCAGGCATTGGAGAAGTGTAAGGATGCAGGATTGGTCAAGTCTATTGGGGTGTCCAACTTCAACCACAGGCAGTTAGAGAGAATCCTGAATAAGCCAGGACTTAAGTACAAGCCTGTCTGCAATCAGGTAAGGATTCTCATTCTCTCCCCATCTCTAATGCGTTTCCCCATTCTGCACTTCTAACACTGTTCTATTGCACTCTTCTCAAATGATTTTTATACTGTGGAAAAGACGATTCTGAGAGCAGTATCACTGTTTCAAAAGACATCGGGGATTCTAAACTTTCGCTTGTGCTCTTAAGTATTGGTAAGAATGGGGACACGGTATATAACCCCACTTACGGAGGATGTATAGCTTTAAAGCTGGTCCAGCAGGCAGAAGCTGAGGGCAGAGGAAAGTGGTCTCCCCTTTAACTGAGGGTAGCAGTAGGCATAGAATACTTTTGCTGAAAGACTGAGCTTAGAAATCACTCCGTGAACAGGAATTATGTGGAACTTAGGTGCTTCTCTCTGTCTTACTATTATCCTTCCTCATGATTTTATTAGTTTTAGCAACTAACATTTTTACCCACTGAACTGCCTTGTTGACCACTAGCCGTTTTTTTTGACACAAAAACTTGTCCTGACACAAGTTATTAACAGAACCTTCCAAAATTAGTTCTTTTGTCTTTCAAGAAGAATTGCAACAGTTTGATCTTTTAAATTTAAATGTGATATTGCATATAATTTTCTTAGTCTGCCTTATTGACTTTAAACACTTTTATTTGTCTTAATTTGATCATTTGATATAATCTAATCGCTATTATATTCTTTCACAGGTTGAATGTCATCTGTATTTAAACCAGAGTAAGCTGCTGGATTACTGCAAATCAAAAGACATTGTTCTGGTTGCTTATGGTGCTCTGGGAACCCAACGATACAAAGAATGGTAATTGGATGAAGAGTATTTGTGAAGCAAGACTGTCAATGAGCATCACGCTACTCAGTTTTCAAGTAGAGTGAGCTGTCTTTAAGAGAACCATGTGAAGCAGAAACTGGTAGCTCAGGGACTTCTATGTGGCCCTGGAGTCTTTTTTGTCTTCTGACTTCTCTAATATACACTTCTGAGAAGAGTAATCTTAGGGAGAAAGGGTTGACTATGGTTCACAATTCTAGGGTACAGAACATAACAGCAGGCAAGACAGGGTGTCAGAAACTGGAAGCAGGGGATTTCTTCACATTGCAATCAAGAAGCAGAGAATGACAAATGAATACTAATGATCTGATCATTTTTTTTCCTTTTATACTTTCCAGGATCCCTTGCTTGTTCGCACCCATAATTAAAATGGGTTTTCCTATTCATAACAAGATAATCTCTCACAGTCATTCTAGAGGCTGATCTTTCTGATGATCCCAGAATTTGTCCAGTTGATAATTATATATAACCATCATGTCTAGTCTAGAATGCACTCTCTATTGTGTTTTGCAGCACCATAACCAACCCAAAATCTTGGCCTCTTGAGCTTATTTCTGCTTTTCTACTAGGGTGGATCAGAACTCTCCAGTTCTCTTGCATGATCCAGTTCTTTGTGATGTGGCCAAAAAGAACAATCGAAGTCCTGCCCTGATTGCTCTGCGCTACCTGCTTCAGCGAGGGGTTGTGCCCCTGGCCCAGAGTTTCAAAGAAAATGAGATGAAAGAGAATTTGCAGGTGATGAGCTCTGTTTCTTAGGGTTGTTACTTAGTATCTTCTGTATGCTTTAGGGTTGTTACATAATATCTTTGAACGCTTTCTTCCTTTAAATCTCTGTGAAATTTTTTGATATGAAACCTATATTTCTAGCATTTTCTGTACATATGAACTTTCAGGTGCATGAGAAATGTTTTGCCTATGACATAAACAACAGCATGACTTGACAGAGTTAGTGTTGGAGATGATTTAGAATTTCCTTTGCCTTGTCAGCCAAGTATTGCATGTATCTTTTCATGGACCTTTTCTGTATGTTCTGAAATGAGGGATCTGGACTGGGTAATTTTGATTCTAGACATTTCTATGGTTTTAATTTTATTTAATTACATGTTCAGATATTCTAATACACACACTTACACACACACACACACACACACACACATACACGCACGCGCACACATGCACACACACTGATTAATTATAAGTTTATGTTTCTCCTTACCCAGGTTGATTTTTTCAAAATTTCAAACAAACTTTTTTATACTATAAAATGTTAGTAATTAATAAAAAAAACCATTCTCAATTAGAAGTTTATTATGAATAACAATTCTTTACCTTAGTGTTCTTCTATTTAAAAAATTGCTTTACTTTAGCCTGGACTCAGGGAAAATCATCTGTTTATGCTAAGTTGCTTCTCATATATTTAAGGAACAATTGTACATTTTTGAGGACAATGAGGCCTCTTAAACTCAGTAGACTGATTGAGCTTCTCCCCAGTTCCATACTGGTTTCATACAATGGCAAATTTCCCAGTTTTTACCTCTACATTTAGTGGTGTTGGAGGTCCTCCTGTCTTTGTGTCCCTTACATTGGTTAATAAAGAAACTGTTTTGGGCCTGTTAATAGGGTAGAACTTAGGTAGGCAGGGAAGACAGAATTGAATCCTGGGAGGAAGAAAGTAGAGTCAAAAGATGCTATGGATCCTCCACCTGAGACAGAGGCTGGCTAGAAGTTTATCTGGTAAGCCACTGCCACATGCAGAGATTTAATTAATACAGTTTTCTGTGTGGTTATTTCAGAGCTAAGCTAGCCAGGCGGCGGGAACATGCAGCCCTCTCCATGTAATAATTTATCCCTAAACCCAGACAGTGAGAAGCCTTTTGTGACAAACACATGGTTAACACATCATTGCTTCTGTGAAGTTCAAATGTCCAGTGCGAGTTACACAGCAGCAAAGACTCAAATGGTTGGAATTAGAAATCGCCTCAGTTTGTAAAGGTGTTAAAAACACTTCAGCAGTGTGTAGATGAAGTGTGGATCGGTTCCCCAAAGCCAGTCAAAGCATTAAGGACAACCCTTGTTCCCAATGTGAGGGGTCCCACAAATACAAAAAGCTACACAAATGTCACATATGTGTAGAGGACCTCAATTCGTCCCATGAAGGATCCCTGGTTGTCAGTTCAGATTCGGAGAGCACCAATGAGCCCAGATTAGTTGTTTCTGTGTGTTTACTTTTGATGTCCTTGACCCTCCTGGTTCACATAATCCTTCCTCCCTCTCTTAAGCAGGATTCCCCTAGCTCTGCTCAATGCTTAGCTATATGTCTCTTTGTCTGCTTCCACCAGTTACTGGATAAAGGTTATCTGATGACCACTGGGATGGTCAAGAACCTTTGAGACTAGCAGAATATCACTAGCGGTATTATTTTGACTTTGTCTTCTCCGAGTCATATTTGGTTCTATCCTAGGTCTCTGGGCATTTCAACCTCTGGGTTCTGGTGCTGCAGGCAGTGTCAGGAGTGGGCTCACTGTTGTTGTTTGTGTCTGAGGCTGGACTGGCTCTACTTGGTCAGTCCCACAATTTCCCTTTCAGCCCACCCATGCGCTTTCCATAGGCAGGCCCGACTGTAGGTCAAAAGTTGTGTGGCTTGGCTGGCATCCCAATCCCTCCACTAGAAAGTCTACCCCAGTCACAGGAGATGGCCAGTTCAGTCTAAGAATCCATCCTTGCTAGGATCCTTAGCTGTGGTTATCCTGTAGATTCTCGAGTTTCCCTTTCACCAGGTTTGGCCTGATCCAGAAACGCACCCCACCAATCGTCTCTTTCAATACTCTCCCCTCTATCTACTCCTACTCAGACCTCTTATGTTCCCATCTCCACTTATCCTAGTCTGCCTGATCATTCCTATTTCTTCTTCACTAGGAGACCCATACCTCCTTTCTTGTACACTCCTTGTTACCTAGCCTCTTTACATGCGTGAATTGTATCTTGGTTATCCTTTTTTTAAAATTTATTTTTCCATTCAAAAATTTACATTTTCTCCCCTCCTCCCAATCCCCTCTTGCTCCCTCACTCACCCTCCTTCCTCACCCACCCTCCTCAAGAGAGGGCAGGGAACCCTGCCCTGTTGGAAGTCCAAGTCCCTCCCCGCTACAACCAGGCCTAGAAGCTTTGCAATCAAATGGACTAGGGTCCCAAAAAGCCATTACATGTAGTAGAAACAAGTCCCAGTACCTTTATCAATGACTTCTCAGTCAGCCCCCATTGTCAGCCACATTCAGAGATTCTGGTTTGATCACATGTTCTTTCAATCCCGATCCAGCTGGATTTGGTTAGATCCCATTAGAACACGCACACTGTCTCAGTGGGTGAACCAACCCCTCCCGGTCCAGACTTCCTCGGTCATCTCCTTCCTCCTTCTGCTCTTCAACTGGACCTTAAGGACTCAGTCCGTTGCTCTGATGAGGGTCTCTGTCTCTATCTTCATCTGTTACCGCACAAAGATTCTATGGTTATATTCTATGGTAATATTATATGGTGATATCTATGGTGATATGGTGTGGTAGTGGGGAAATGTCCCGCGCTACCGTCTCGCCCGCAAGAACGATGCGGGACACTTAGGATTCTTCTGCGGTAAAGCTTTATGCGTCTTGAGAGGGAGAGCATAAGCTTACATGGCGGAGACCCAGAATGAGGGGAACCCAGCCCTTATAAAGGAAACAGTCCTCGCTTCTGACGTGTCACTCTTGGATTGGTCCGCTGCCCATTATCCCAGATGATGCCTCGGAAGTAGGCAGGGACGCAGCGGTAGAGAGTTACCAAGCACGTGCGCTGGGATTAAAGGCGTGTGCTACATCACCTTGAACTCACAGAGATCTACCTGTCTCTGCTTCCCAGGCATAGGGGCCAAAGGCGTGTACTACCACGCCTTGAGGTCACAGAGGTCAATCTGCCTCTGCAGCCCAGGCATCAGGACTAAAGGCGTGTACCGCCACACCTTGGGGTCACAGAGGTCAATCTCTACCTTTGTTCCTTGAAGCAATGGAGAATGTGGTCCGGCCCTCCACAGGGAAAGGCCAGTTCAGGCACCCTCTCCTCTGCTGTCTAAGAACCTAGATGGGGACACCTGGGACCCTCTCTAGAGACAAGTCTTCTGCCAACCCTAAAATGGCTCCCTTTAGTTAGATATCTTCTTTCCTGCTCCTTTATCCGCCCTTCCTTCATCTCCACCCTCCCACTCTCACAAGCTTTCTCCAGTTTTTCCTTTCTCCCTTCTCTCTCCCCACTCCCTTTCCCCCACCCACAGCCCCACCCCTACCCCCATCACCATGCTCCCAACTTTTGCCCGGCAATCTTATTTGCTTCCAATTTCCCGGAGAATCAATATATGATTTTATTTGACTTCTCTAGGCTAGCGGGGCTTAATGTCCTTTGCTTATGACTAGAGTCCACTAATGAGTGAGTACATACCAAATTCATCTTTTTGGGTCAGGGTTATCTCACCCAGGATAGTGTTTTCTATTTCTATCCATTTACATAGCATGGTTATCCTTTACAGCTCATACTTACTTATAAGTGAGTGCATTGCCTTGTGCAGCCTTTAACACAAGGGGAGGATTTTAGTCCTTCCTTAACTTAATATGCCACGCTTCGTGGTCACCCATGGGTGGCCTGTCCTTTTTTGAACAGAAACAGGAGAAGTGAATTTATGGGTCAGAAGAGAGCTGGAGAGGGAAGGGAATTGGAGGAGGTGAGGGACGAGAATCTGCAGTCAGCAAGTAAAATAAATGAATAAATTTAATTAAAAATGATATTAGACCAGAGCAGCAATAGAACCAAAGGTTCCTCTGACACTCAAGCCTGGCAGACAGCTACAACTGCCTCACTGTTGTAGGCAATAATTGCCGGTGTTCCTTGACATTCTGCTGGAGAAGGTGAATAAGCTCATTTTTGTAATAAATGCCTATAGAAGTGTGTAGAAGTGCACAGGTGTGAGCAGTTGATGATTTGTAAATTTACACATACTTTTATACATACAGTCAATAAATATATATGTCAAACATATATGATAAATAATATATTAAATACATGTAATATTCCTCACATATAAACATATATGACATAGCATGATATACATGATCATTTGAAAATAATATGTATATGATCATTGGACAATGATATACATACATACACACACACACAAATGAACATTGGTGGTTCAAGTGTAGAAATCTAACAATGGAATAATTTGTAAATCTAGGTAGTGAATAAAAAGATGTTGTATTTTCTCAAAAAATAAAAAAGTGTGAATTATGTGTTTGCTGCATATACATAGTCTCACTAGTGATTGTTATGCAGATTCAGAAGAGTTTGCTGAATTGCCTTCTCCCAAATATTTCTTGTTTTCATTCTCTTTTTATTACTTAATGAAAGAAGACACCTGGTGGAGTCTTCATGTTTTTACTTTGTGGTTGAGCATCACATCCTATCACTTGTCAGGCAAGAGTTTCCTTCACTAGTTTACCAGAGCTTTGTGTCATTCGCCCCTAAACTCTTCTCAAAATGTATTTTTTATATGTGGTAAAATATTTATCCAGAAGGATATATGTAATTTTAAACAAATTATTCAGAGTAATTACATTTATGAGGTCTTTCCTCTGTTCATTTTATTTACTTACTCCCATTACCCAAATTATGTTTCTTGATAGATTTATCCATTGTTAAACTGTTGATAAATCTCCTTATCCTACCCTCCATGTTCCTCTGTGCCTGTATTTTTGTTTGTTCATTTGTTGTTTGTTTAGTTTTTTGAGACAGGGTTTCTCTGTAGCTTTGGAGCCTGTCCTGGAACTAGCTCTTTTAGACCAGGCTGGCCTCGATCTCACAGAGATCTACCTGTTTCTGCCTCTCAAGTGGGATTAAAGGCATGCCCCTCCACCACCCAGCCTGTCTCTGTATTTTTAATGCTCCTAAGGACTTACCCTGCATGTGTTTAAGATATGAGCAATTATTTTTTTTTTCATTTGTTTTATTTTTCTTCTTCTTGTTTTTTCAAAGCTGAGGATTGAACTCAGGGTCTTGCACTTGAGAGGCAATCACTCTACCACTGAGCTAAATTCCCAAATCTCAGCCTACTAAATGCTCAAAAAAAAATCAGGCCTCTGTACCACAAGTGTGATGGTCAGCATTATAGTCACACCCAGCTTGAATCATTAAACTGGAGAATAAAGTTTAAACACCTCTATCCTAGATCTGAGTGTGTAGCTCCTATTCTATTGAGAATGGATGAAATCAGTATATGACTTCCAGAGAGTAAAGGGTTTCTGTCTTTTATTTAGTTTTCTTCATTTTGGGTGTTTCAAGTGACCACATTGTAATAAATCCCCAAGTGGTGATGAAGCCATTGCAGGGGATGATGACATTTAACTTTTAGATGTAAGAGCCACGTTTAAAATACTTCAGGCTAATTACTGTTCATTTTGGGTGAAAGAACTTTGCTCCACAGTATACATTAGTTTGGTTGTACTTGGAAAACAGTCTTTCATATCGTTCCTGCTGTTAATAAAATTTACATCAAGTTTTTTTCCCTTTTGTGGAGAAGTGATAGTTCTTTTATTTTCCCCAAAGAAAACATGTGGTTTATTCTATATTTCATGACTGGGGCAGAAATCATAGTGCTTTGGATAATTTGTTACATTTAAGGTAATCAATAGCAGCAGCAGTAGCAACACATACCCTAAAATATTTAAACATATTTAATAGAACTTATGCATCTTAAGTCTTCCTATAAGTTAGGTAATGGAAAAAAAATAAAGGGGAATGTAAAATTAATCTAACGATGTACTGATTTTCTCTGGTTTGATGTCTGTACTTCTTGTCTTTTTGTTTTTAATTTATTTATTAAAAATTTCCACCTCCTCCCATTTCCCTCCCCCTCCATCTCTTCCTCCCTTTCCAGTCCTAAGAGAAGTCAGGGTGCCCTGCCCTGTGGGAAGTCCAAGGCCCTCCCCCCTGCATCCAGGTCTAGGAAGGTGTACATCCAAACAGACTAGGCTCCCAAAAAGCCAGTACATGTAGTAGCCATTATCATTGGCTTCTCAGTCAGCCCTCATTGTCAGTCAAATTCAGAGTCCGATCTGAGCTGGACCGGGACTGAATGAGCATGAGGTGATAGTTCTTTTATTGAAATTTTGCCATTAACGTCTTAGGATGTGAACACATTTTATAACTAACCTCTTCCTGAGATTTTTACCTACTGGAAATTCTTAACCAATTATATTATTTCCTTTATTTTGAAAATGATTTGGCTGCTTTCTATTAGATTGTTTGTGATATTTTCTGTAATCATAGTTCATCTAAACACAGCTTATTTTTTTGAACATTAAAGTTTGTAATCTAAAGATAGATTCCCATTTTCAGTGAACTTAAAGAGCTAGCACAGTCTTTCCCTTCCTTATATTGGAAGGAGCTGTTGCCAAAGTGAGCAGGTGGCTGCTTCTTGTTGTATAATGGGAATGTGCTTTGGACAAGGAGGTCAGTGTTTATTATGACATTTTGTCAGTCCCCAAAGGATTCTATTCCGTTCTAGAAGTCTAAAATATGTAATTTGAAATTCTTAATAAAATTGGATCTAATTTAAAAAATGATGTGAACAATTAGTGAAAAATTTTTTGAAGTTGAAGTGTCTCAAATTTTAGAATTTGGACAAATCTTTACATACATCATGTTGAAAAAAGCAATTATTACATTTTAATGATTCATTGACGGAATAAGTATAAATATAAAATAAAACATATAAATATAAAATGTAACTCTCCATGCAAATTGCTGTTTGTTTGATGTATTTCAATTTTTTTTTTTAGATTTCTTGGAAACTACTTACATGGTGCTGTGGCCTTTAATGTTATGTTAAATGTATTGTTTTTGTTTGTTTCTTTGTTTTTGTTTTTTTCTCAAAATAACTATGAAATTTCCTTTTGTCTATAGCATTCTACAATTTTAATATATCTCAAGAACAATTTTCTTTCATTATTACTTGGTTTTTAATAACCATGAAAGCTTTAGTACACAATGTTCATCATTTTTAGGAGCATACATACTAATCACATTGCTTTTGAGGTATAAACTCTGATTTATTCAAATGCTAAAACACTTGTTTTTTTCTGAAGGTTTTTGAATTTCAGTTGTCTCCTGAGGATATGAAAACCCTTGATGGCCTGAACAAAAATTTTCGATATCTTGCAGCTGAGTTGTAAGTAATGTTGATAAACACCTCACCTCAGTTTATTTCATGTCCAAGTATCTGCCTTCCTTTTCCATTCATGATGGTTCAGACACCAAATACCCTATTTGTCCTTAGCAAGTTTCCCATGGAGATAGGTAATACAACATTTGTTTCTGAGTTTTTGAAAATGTGAATTTGTCATTTTAAAACATGGAGAAGGTTTTCAATTCATGCTTAAAGTAAGAAAAAAACCTTTTAAGAAAAGCACTACTGCTTGGGAGAATTAATAACTAGTTAATGATCTTTAGTTTTTTTCTTCCTCTATGGTTACAAAATTTGATACTAGAAATAGGTTATGAATTACAAAGACTTCATAAGTACTTATAGGTGCATATTCTTTTATCTTTCTGCTTATCTATCTATCTATCATGTATCTATCTATATCTATCGTTTATCTATATCTTCTCTTGTTGGAATTTTATTTCTCAATATTAATAAATATGATAATGCTTGAAGGAGGTTTAAAAAATCTACAATACCATGTAAGTTGGTATATATATATATATATATATATATATGCATTGTTAAGATTTTTGTTAGTATATAGCAGAATAAAGTCAATGAAAATATACAACTCAATGAGTCAATCATTGTTGCAAATAATAAATAATTCTTGCCAACTTTAACAATTAATTATTTTTATCAATGCATATTTTGGAATGTTATTTATATAGAGAGGTCTACAAATTATACAGTTATCTCCTTGTATATGGAAGACCATCTTAAAATTCTGTAACTGAATCTAATACATTACTTCTTAATTGATGGGTCGTGAGTGAATAGTTAATGGATTATTAATAATAAATGGTAGTGAAAGCAGTAGACATAGTGATACTTTAATGTATATTAAGATATTTTTGTGTTGATCTTTATGTACAGTTACCTTGAACTAAAGATGACTTATACCTTTCTTCTTTCTCAGGAGACTAGAGTTGGGAAGGATTTTTAGCTCTTCATTGACTGATTCATAGATGAAGCTAAGGGAGTTGAATGTTAATGAATACAGGTCTTTGCATGTTCTTTTCAAGATCAAGGGACATAACTGAAAAATAATTTATAAGTGACATTTTACAAACATTTCTTATACATACTTGTATATGATGCCAAGGATATCACCTTCTACAACTGATCAGGGAACAAAATGATTCACTTTCACCTTGAGAGTATCTTCCTAGATGTCACAAATTCCACTGTAGAAATTGATAAAACAGCATGTGTTTGTTTTTATTTCCTATGTTAGATTTGCTTACCAGACTGAATAACCATTTTCTGAGAAATATTGACATGGGGGGGGCTGTCAGTCACACCAGGGTCTATCTAAGATGTATGAATTAGCTTTTTGGAGTCCATTCCCTAAAGTGGAATACCTTGCTAAGCCTTGATAAGAGGGCTAAGGGGAGGGGATTGGTCCTGTCTCAAGTTGATATGCCAGACCTTGTTGACTCCCAAAGTAAGGCCTTAATGCCTCTGAGGAGTAGATGGGTAGGTGGAGAGGCAGGAGAAGGGGAGGGAGTGGAGGAAGAACTGGGGTTGGTATGTAAAATGAAAAGTAATTTTTAATAAGAATTAAGAAAAAAGAAGAAAATTCAAAAATACAAAAATTATAAATAAAAATTAGGCAACAGAGCCAAAAAAGAAAGAAAGAGAATAAAAAATACTTTGAAACTGAGGTTTGAGTATCATTGCCAAAATTTTAATTACTTACATGTAAGGATTTTTGTTTGTTTGCTTTGTTTATTTTGTTTTGAGAGAACATGAAGATTTGCGTATGTTTCAAATAACATGCAAGTAAAAATAAAATATTCTGTTCTCTGTAATAAAGGAATGGTTCTCAACAACAACAACAAAAAAGAATATCACCTTTTTCAACTAATCAGCAAATAAAACAATTAACTTTCTCCTCAATAGTGACATCTTAAATGTCACAGTTTACATTGTAATTATGGATCAAACAGTTCATGTTTGCTTTTATTTCCTATTTCAGTTTGACAGACCACCCTGAATATCCATTTTCGGAGGAATATTAACATGGGGACCTAGTCATGACTGCCTGAAGTCACTGTGTGCAGTGATGTTGGTGATATAACTCAGATGCTGTTTGGTGGATGCCTCATTTCCAGTCAACCTAAACTGCTTAGTGACTCTCACATTCAACTATAGCTCCACCTTTTGGTCTTGAAGGAAAAGGATTTAATTTTCATGATGCCTCAAAATAAATATAACATATTTTCTCAAATGAACAAAAAAAATTTGTTTGTTTTTTAATGAATCATTATGACACAAAACTGGTTTTGTTGGAAGTCTGTGGTTGGTATTTGGAGATGATGATTTCCAATTTATAAACCTTTCAGACTTGGGCTATGTGACTTTTCCAGACGAGGGAATGACTCTCAGCAGTTGTCTATGAGTCAGCGGTCCTCTAGGTCTGAGTCAACAAGAAAATTCTGCACACATTCTGTGATTCTCAGTCTGGAAGATGAGACACCCATAGGAAGGTTGACCAACAATTCCCAGACTCTCTCTAGTTGCTTAGCATCAGAGTCTCGGAACTGGAGAGTGAAGCATCTCTGAAATAGGTTAGGCTAAAGAGGGGACATGAGAACCAGCGTAGGAGCACCTTTAAACTCAGGATGGGAGACTTCAGTCGATCATAGGTTTACCTAGAAATAATGCCAAGTTTGTTTTTTCAGAACTTTTTTCTTTTTCTTTTCTTTCTTTTTTAGAAATATAATCAGATCTTGAAAACAAAAGGAGTTTTTCACAAAGTTAATCCATTGATGCAGCAGAGTTATTCCTTGCATTATTTTTGAAAAAAAATAAACAAAGAACCAACTTTAATTTTAATACATTTAGAAATACTTATAAGAATTGTGATACATTGGTCAGTGTGGTCTGTGAATGCCTGAAAATTTAGTGTGTAAAGATATCAACACCATGTTGGAGTAGCAAACATCAAGTTTTCACATGGGAACATGAGAAACCCCATGTAACCTAGGCTAACTGACATATAGGTTCTGCTAAGGGGTCGGCTATCTACAGAAACCAAATAAAGAGGCAACAATTAGTAACAACAGGATCCTCAAATAGGTAGTTTTACTGTGTTTTATATCTCACACTGGGAAGAACAGCCTGCATGGTACCATGTGGTCTTGGCGTCAACAGTTACCATTTAATTTTTAATTCAAAACAGTTGTAGCATCTAAGCTTATAGTTCCCAATATATCAAATACATGATTTTTAGTTCATATTTCCATTCTCACATGAAGCCTAACTTCATAAATAGCAGTTGGCATTAGCTAGCAAGTTTCCCACAGAATCTTTGTGTACCATAGAAGATAAATTTTATTTTCTTTGCATTTGAACAGCTGATTAAATGATGACAAACAACCTTTTCACAATGCTTAGAAAGCTGTCCAGAATTTAATATTTTAGGAGATAATTGAGTGCTTTTTAGTATATCATTACCTTTTTCATATTAATTCTTGTTTACTAACACTCAATATGTTTTTTAAACAAATTTTTATTTTGTGTTACGTGTATTTGTCTGCATATATGTCTGTATACCACATGAATGTCAGGTGTTTAGGGAGCTCAGAAGACGGTATTCATTCTTTAGAACTGGAATTACAAAGGGTTATAATTCGATCATGTGTGTGTTAGGAATCTAAGCTAAGTCCTCTGAAAAAGAAGCAATGACTCCAAACTTCTAGGCCATCTTTCCAGCCCCTGTTACTCAATATTTTGTTCTTCATTTAGATTCACAGGGGCATTTAATCTCATTATGGATTTGCAAAGGTTCTGAAATTCTAGGTGTTTTTGGATGTGTGGAAAAACTGTAGTGGCAGATGTGTGTCAAAGAGGAATTTTTACCTTCTCATGAAGTTGAAAAAAAGTTGGAAACAAGGCTGTACCTATGCCCACAAAATAAAATAAAATTATGAATAACAGATGATAGAGAGAATGATCCGAATCTACTCACCTGTTCCTGAGCTCATAATTTAGATTAATGTGAACACTTAGACTTACATGGGAACTGATCAGTTTGAGAACATGGAAAACAATTCTACATTAGGCAACTCAAAAGCTTGATAAAGCATGAGAAATAATGTTTAATGACTAGAAGACCACCAAGGCCTTGGTCTTCATCTTTGAGTCACTAAATTTATTCTTTGACATCTGTCAAAACAGCCCAATGTGAAAATAGTAAAGTTATGATTGATCACAACACAAGAGAGAGCCCTCCTCACAGTTAAAAGGGCTTATGGATGGAGTTTTATGTATATAATAAAGTGATGGCCATGTACACCGGAATAATTGCTGTCCTATTAATTCTTAGATATTAAAAATTCATTACTATATTGTATATATAAAACTTCACCCATAAATTCAGTTCAGATGTGACACAGTTTTAGGCACAAAGGAAGACCTAAGAGTTAATAGTATAAGATTATGAGAATTTTGATAATTTATACAAACTCTTTATAATAAAGATCTTTGGTTACAGGCATAACAGTTTTTATGTTGTAATCTCATTTAAATTTTGTTTAAATTTGCTTCCAAATTATCCCCATATTTTCAAGACTCTAAAATGAGGAACATTAACCAATGTAGATTGTGAGTAGGATGCAGTAGGACCTTGAAATTGCCATCCAAGGAGCACAGTAGTTCTTTTTCTGTGCCCAGGGCCTTCAAACAGATATGTAGGTATATAGTACAATGTCTACATAGATCAACTGGGTGCCAAGATTTAAAAAAAATATTCATATCTCCAGGGAGATTGACAATTGAGGCAGTGTACTGTAGTCCATCCAAAGAGTACTCAGAAGTTACAATAATCTATATTTACATTTATGAGAGAAGGCTAGAGGACTTTAAAAAGAATAAGAATGTAGTAAAATAGACAGAAGAAAACTGAGTTTGTGTTATTTTTTTTAAGTAATTTTATTAAATTATAAAAGTTTCCATTTACGCCCCTCTTCCCAACACCCTCCCACTCCCCCTCTCCCTCTCCTCCTCCCTCTTTGTCCCTAAGGGCAGTCAGGGTTTCCAGCCCTGTGGGAAGTTCAAGTTCGTCCCCCCTCCCTCCAGGTCCAGGAAGGTGAGTATCCAAACAGACTGGATCCCAAAAATCCAGTATATGCAGAGGAAACTAGTCCCAGTGTCATTGTCAATGGCTTCTCAGAAAGACTCCGGGCCAGCCACATCCAGAGAATCCGGCCACATTCAGAGAATCTGGTTGGATCACGGGCTCGTTCAGTCGCAGTCCAACTGCCCTTGGTAAACTCTCATTAGATTCGACCCCTTGTATCAGTGGGTGATAGCAGCCCTCGCAGTCCTTCGTCATTTTCTCCGTCCTTCTGCTCCTCATTTGGACCTTGGGGGGCTCAGTCCGGTGCTCCAATGTGGGTCTCCGTCTGTATCGCCATCCACCGCCAGATGAAGGATCTATGGTGATAAGCAAAATATTCATCAGTATGGTTATGGGCCAAGGCCGGTTCAGGCACCCTCTCCTCTGTCCAGAGAACAATCTGGGGATCTCTCCTTGGACCTGGGATCCCATATATAATCAAGTTTCCTATAAACCCTAAAATGACTCCCTTAGTTGAAATATATTCTTCCCTGATCCCATATTCATCCTTCCTCCCTTCCCCCCATCCCGGTCAACCGAGCTTTCTCCATTCCTCCCCTACTCCCTTCTCTCTAACCCTCTCCCCTTCCAACAACCCTCCCCCCCCCCCATGCACCCAAGGTTACCTGGGACTCTTGACTATTTCCTACCTCTTGGCGGATAGCTAAATAATCTTCATCAGGTTCGTCTTCTTATTTAGCTTCTCTAGGATCACGAATAATAGGCTCAAAGACCTTTAAATTATGGTTAGTGTTATTAAGTGAAGTTGAAATAAAGTTATTTATATATGTATGTGTGTATATATATATATATATATATATATATATATATATATATATATGTCTATATCCTTGTCCAATTCCCCTTTCATTTCTTTAAGCTTTCTATATACCCCTCTCTGGTCTCTTTCAAATTTATGGCCTTTAAAATTAATTATAGAATACACACTCATACATGTATATTTCTAAATACATAAATACCTTTCTCTGAGTCTGAAGAAAGTTCCATATATGCTTCAGGGACTGACCATTTGGTACAGCATACCAAGTAGAATATTTCTACTTCTGTCAGCTCGCCTGACTTGCTTTTAAAGAGCTGTTCTTAGAGTTGAAATAATAAAATTTTCTTACAATTACTGAAAAGCACGTAGGACATTAAGTAACCACACTCCAAACTTTCAGAAATAGACTGCTTAAAAATTCCAGTCTTTCCATTTTTTATTACCTATGTCAAATAATCATACGACAGTATGGATGCTAACATATCCCCCCCTCTTTGAGAGAAATGCACAAATCCTTAGTCCTTATTTAAACATTTTATATTAATATGAATTCTTTAGGCTTCACTTACAATTATTTTAAGGTATTTTAACACAAATATTTCAAATTCTATTTAAGTCCTCTAAAATTTACAACCATGAACTGCTTCCAAATTCCTCTTCAATGAATAATTTTGATCAAGGTCACACATTAAAGGAAATAATCTTCTGCATTTTGACCATACTCAAAGATTCTCATAGTTGTATAACAAGTGAAAGATATAATGAGTCCTAAGGTTCTGTCTGTACCTTTGGCCTATGATTTCCAACAGTGGTTAATCATTCTACATCTAATCAGTACACTGCTACACTGTCCTTTTTATTACACAGTGCTCTAACTCCACATCATGATTCAGCAAAACTCTTACAAAGCAAAATATATTTGTTAAAGAGAAATTTGATATAATTGTTTCTTTTCAATTTTCAATTTAGCTCTTAAGAGTCAAAAATGAGAAACAACAGTTGTCCTGTTTCTAATGCTGTCTCTGTGTGTTTTACTGTGTGCATAGTATAAGACATCTGACTGTTTTAAAGAATGTCTGATTAAGAAGAGGCTTCATGTGCTGGGGAGATGGCTCAGTGGGTAAAATGTTTGATGTGTTAAGTATAAGATCTGAGTTTTGACCACTGGAATTCCTGTAAAACCTGTATGGCAACCTGTGTCTGCAATCCCCATGTCTCTATAGTGGGATAGGAAACAGACATGAGAATAAATCCTTGGATGTTTGTGGGTGAGCCAGTCTGGCATATTAAGCAGTGAACAGCAAAAGATCTGTCTCAACCAAGGCAG